GGCTCTCTCGCCGCCATCCAGAGTCACGGTCACTTCTTCTCCGGGGTAGTAGTCTTGTTTGAACTCTTCAAATAGGGTATCGACCAGGTGGTCTAGGCGCGATACAATCTGGAATTGCACTTTACGCAGAATAGGACCTTTAAGTGCTTCCGGGAATGCCTTCTCAACTTCGCGTCCACCATGGAGCTAGAGATCTGATTAGTCTTGGGAGTGTGCGTGTGGGCCAAGATGGACGAACCTCGCTCTTCTGGGCTTGAAAAAAAGTCATTCCGGATTGGCCAGTGATTTGATCGTTAAATCGACGCTGTTGGAGATATTAGTAACGGCGACCTCTATTCGACGGCGCATTAGGCTGGGATCTACCTGTTTATAAAAATCCATTCTGGAGAAATGTTGTTAGCAAATGCGTGTATACGGACGTGTATGCGAGTGAAGAAATCTCACCTGTTCAAATAGTCCTCGTACGAAACAAATACTTCGCCCGTCTCCTTAATGAGCCAGACCTGTTCATTTCGGGTTATTTGTCAATCGTTGAGTCTTTCGGGGAGGTAGAATGATTATGTGTAATCACCTCAGCATTGTCATCTTCGATGTCCGCCGGAGGCAGAAACTGCACCGGCTTGCGCTTGAACAGCACCTAGGCGAGGTTAGAGGCTTGATCATTTTATATTTCTCTTCAAAAATATGCCCGTACCATTCCGTATATGAGACCCGACAGGCAGCGGGTCGTGTCGCGGCCGCAAAGTTGTGTATATATGCGTGTGCACGCGGGTGCTGAGGAAGCCCGGTGTCCCCCGCAAGCAAAGCGTGTAAGTCGGTCGGAGGCTCAAACTACGAGGAGCATCTGTAGGCTGGAGGGAATGGGCGATTGCTGTCGAAGGCGGGTTCAGGTCGTCGTCGGCGTGGGGCGTGCGGGCAGAGTCTTGGAATTGGATGCGGCTGCTCAATTGACCTGCAACGAATGACTTACACGGAACTCTGGAGGAAACGCGCTCCGAGCTGGTGCGCGTGGGGATCCAGGTTCCTGCAGAGTCTGGATGGGATCGGAGCTGCAGCGGCCGGGGCTGGTGTGGGATGGTTGTGCGTGGCCGTCGAAAGCAGACCGAACGCGCTTCTCAGCTAAGAAAGGTGAGGTTTGACGAAGGAGAGGAAGAAAAGGACGGAGAGGGCATGAGTGGCAGAGACCTGACCTGGGCTGGGACCTGCAAAGGAAAAAACTGGGGGTGTGTGCCGGAGCACCACACGGGTACCGCACCGAGGAGCTGGTGACCAGGTAGCGGGAACATGGGCCCTACCAGTCGCCCACCGTGACGCGCGCGGCCAGGCACGACACCCAGGTAGTGTGGCGGTACTCGCTACCTGGCTGTCGAGACAGGGACGCGGGTTCTTTTCGCTTTAAGCCTAGTCGAGCTACCCTTCATCAACCTCATCCCCGTCCGCCGTCATGGCTCTCCCGCGCCCAGTGGAAAGGCCTTGCTCCTCCGCGCCCACCCCCCAAACCCTCCACCACCCTCGCGTTCTCTCAACGGACCCCAAACATCCCGCTCTTGCTTTTCTGCCACCATTCATAGGCTCATTCTAATCGCTGCATCGCGCCCAACATCCCAGAGCTTGAAGCAGCGTTGTAGCAAAATTCCCCAGTGAGATATTCGTATTTTTACCGCTTGTTGATTTCGGTGTCTGCGGGTAGGTGATTTTGACACGCACGTCTCCAACATCCACGCTCCACCCATATACTCAGGCCGTGACTCCGGCACGCTCGCTACATTTCCACAAGCCCGCGACGCAAAACCAGACACGGCTTTTAATCAAATACGCATGGAATGCGGCTTGTTTGTCCTCATGTTCTTGAGTAGACCGGTGTTCACCTCTCCAATTTGGCTTATACGTGCCGGACCGTTGATACCAAATTTAGAAACCCGCGTCAGCCCCAGCGCCGCCTTTGCTTTGATTTCTAATCATAACTAATGCTATATACACTGTGCATATGTAGAAACATTTGATGTGGTTTGCATTACGCCTACCTTTGACATGCGATGGCAGCAAGCACGACTCTTCAGTCAGGTGCATCTGAACATCGGTGTGTTCGACGTTGTTTTACCCAAAAAAGGCAGCAGCCTCACATTTCACTCGGAGTGGGGCGATCCACTTAAGCACAAGTGCGTGCTCATGTACCTGCTTGTACCTTGCTGACTCAGCCTGACTTCCCTCCCTCCTTATTCTCAGGACCAACGAGCTGGGAAAGGGGCGGACAAGGGCAAAGGCTGCTGATAGACTCTCTGGCGTTTCTAAGCATCGTTGTTAGAATGCTGATAAGACAGCGAATAAAGTAAATTTTGGGTATCATGAAAAATCTATCTTCAAAGACCTGGCTATGACCCTCTGCTTACGAAGTGAAGTACACGACCATATAGCCAATCCAGCTCCCGACTACGCCTATCGCCGCGTAGGCGCTCGTAAACATGAGCGGAAGGAACTCGTAGCTGTCCCCAAATAAGATCTGATGGAAAAGAGAAGTGTATGCAATGAGTGGAATGCAGATAGCAATATATAGCGTGCTGAACCTGTCAAGGAGAAAGACTCTGGGCTTCTTGGCAGCTGGAGCCATGCGCTCGAAGACCATGAGGAATAGCACGAGCCAGAATATTGTATAGACAGTTTTGATGGGGAATTCGGCCGAGGTGAATAGGAGCGGAAACAAGGACACGTGCCCTGCGACTGTCAATGGTTTGAAAGCCCCGAAGTGGCGACGATCTCGGAGGGCGATGAGACTAAAGGGGAAAATAACCAGCAGGATGGCTTTTTCGTGAACATGCCATCCAAACAAGAACGAAGAGTAGCCGCAAAGAGTGACTGCTCCGATAAAATCTTCCCATGTAGGGGAAGCGGCTACGAATAGCTTGGCCAGGGGCAGTGATTGGAAGAACAACGTCAACAGGAAGCATATCCTTGGGCTGATATCGGGAAGCACTGCAAATGCGGTGTCTCCAACAAGACCTCTGGTTACGCTTTGCAGCGCCTCCGCCTTGATTTCCAGTCCTAACCTAGGAGCGACTTGAGCACAGGTTAGTACGAGATGAAGGTCAGAATATCCGGGGTGAAACTTACGGGATATGAGGATTCGATCAGCAAACGAGTACAATGCCCAGATATTAGGAGCCCAGTAAGCATGGCAAAGACCTCTTGCGAATGGGAAAAGGCGGCTGAAAAGCTGAGGGATCTGGTTCATAGCCACAAACGGGCCAAAAGCAGCTCCAAGAATCGCAATCAACCCAGTGCCGATTTTGACACAGTTGAGGAACTTGATACGGAAGATTGACTTCGTGGACAGACAGTACGTTCGCAAAAGGAACACAAAGTAGGCTGGTGCCAAGTACAGATAGATGTGCTTGAAGCACAAGAGGGTAGCGAAAACCAGGCCGCTTTGCAACAGAGTAGACTTGGATCGTGCCAAAACCAATGACCATATCAAAAGACCGTACATGGCGCCATTGTACTGGAAATGGATATGGTCAATGATAAGAAGACCGGGAGACAATATAACCGACAAGGCCGTGATCTGCGCGGTACGCTTCTGGAGCAAGGGTGCCGACTCAATAAACAGTTGGAGGGCGTAGACCAGCATAATTTCGGTCACAATCACCGTCGTTCGCTGGAAGTAGACCGTCTGCCAGCTGTCATATTCGAGATTGAAAACTCGCAGCATCGCAGGATCAACCAATCGAGCCACTTGGGCAAGCGCCCATTCGAAGTAGGCGAAGAACGGGGGATAGTCGAGTGTCCATTCCGACGTCTTCTCGTAATACCATTCGGACACGGGGAGGCTGTCAGTTATGGCGAGCCAGTTGCGATGAACCTCGAAGTCTGTAGACTTGCTGGATGCGTGTTAGTGGTCATATGCAAGGTGCGCGCTTCTCTTGCTGCAGCTGGGCATGAGCTCACTAGGCCGGGAATAGCAGGATCTTGAGTGCAGCAGCAACCAGGGCGCACTGCGCCAATGATGGGTAGAACTCGTCCATTGGATCTGTCGGCAATTGCTTACGAATGGCAGCTTTCTCTACCAGCAATGTGTGGGCGCGAAGCTCGCATTGCAATCCCTGGTCGGGCTAGCTGTGCTCTGTGGGTGGCAGGTCGGAGAAGCCACCTGTGAGATCATCCGGCATGCAGATTTGCCAGAGCTTCTGGAACTTGGGGCACAACGGCCAACCCCCAATTGTGGGTCGGTTTCCGGGGTGCCCGCCACACCAGTCCAGCGGTCCAGCGGTCAAGCCACATTCCCCCATTGAATATGTAGCGTCGTCGTTTGCAGACAATAGCGGCAGCCACCCCCCCAAGCCCACTGGCGGGCAGCGATTGGCGGGTAGCCTCGTCTAACCAAGCGAAGGTTCAGGTCCCTGTATTAATTAGCATATGATTCCCACATTGACACCAAGCCGCCTCCCCTCGATGACCTTGCCTCTTCAGCCTGCGCTTGTCCGTGTAAGTTAATACAAGAGACGGCCGACGACTGCAGTATCTGGCCTTTGCTTTTACTGTTCTTTGCTTTCTGTTCTCTTGTCTGCTTGCTTACCCCCACCCCTGTCCATCTATAAGCGCTGGCGCCAGATCAATAGGAATATACCTTGCTTTGCTTCCCATTGTGCAAAGTGGCCTCTGGAAGGATCTGCTTGTTCCGACCACAACGTCGGCCTCGCAACTGCGCATTGGTTGTTAGAGCTTGAACGGGGCAGACAGATACTCAGGGAAACGAGGGAAAGCCCTGAACTGTAGCAATGCACTTCACATCTTCTCTATTAGCGCTCCTCGCAGCGAGCGCTGTCGAAGCCCAGCAGTTCCTAATCAATGAGCTTAGTTTCGGCCATTCTGGACGGTATTATTTGACATCCCACCTTGCATCCTTTCCAATTCAAGCTCGGCTAACATGACATCCTGTCAGGTTGAGCCCTCCCGACGCCAAGGGCCAGATTCCCGGCTTCAGCCTCGCCAGCTCAGGGCGCCCGCTACAGATCCTCTCGAACAAGGTCATCCTGACCCCAATCTCTCCCGGAAACCAACGAGGCTCGATATGGTCTACCGGCACGCTTGACCATGATCAATGGGTGGCTGATGTGGACTTCCGTGCCAACGGGCCCGAACGTGGTGGCGGCAACCTGAACATCTGGCTCGCAAAGAACGGTGAAGCCGAGATCGGCTCCAAGAGCGTATACAGTGTGGGCAAATTCGAAGGTCTGGCGCTGGTCATTGATGCGCACGGCGGCACTGGGGGCATGCTCCGAGCTTTCTTAAGCGACGGAACCGTGGACTACTCGGCCAAGTCTAGCATTGATGGTCTGGCCTTCGGTCACTGCCCCTACGCATACCGTAACTTGGGGCGCCCGTCGCAAATCAAGCTGCGCCAGACTTACGAAACCTTCAAGGTTGAGATCGATGGCCGCGTCTGCTTTGAGACCGACAAGGTCGCCATCCCTGCCGGCTATGCCCTCGGTGTCACCGCAGCTACCCCTGATACTCCAGACTCCTTCGAGGTCTTCAAGGTTGTCGTCATGTCCGACAAGTCGAAGTACGAGAAGTTTACCGAAAATGTCCAAGAGGATGCCCCCTACTCGCGCCCAAGACAACCCATCGGGGAGAATGAGCAATCAGACCGGTTTGCCGACGAAATTGTGAGAGACTTGATTCAGGAGGAGAACAACAATGCCATCGCAGAGCAGCTCCAGGTACTGCAGGCTAGCCTGGAATCCACCAACCATCACGTCACCTCCGTCTATCGCTCCGTCTCTCGACTCCACCAGGTAGATGAGCAGCGCCACGACGAGGTCATTAAGCTGCTTAATGAAATCAAGGGCGAGTTCAGGAAGCTTGACCAGCTTGGTCCCATAGACCAGCGCGTCAAGGACCTGGAGAGAGAAGTCCGTGGAATGCGCACCGACCTGACTAAGAAAATCCAGAACAACGAACGCACAGTTAAGGACTATCTGACCGACCACCATGCGTCTCTGTCTCAGGCTATGCTTGATCGCATTCCGGGACACGGAAAGCTGATTTTCATCATCATTGGCACGCAGGTCGTCCTAGTCGTCTTCTACATCTTCTACAAAAGACGCCGCGCCAACTCGCCAAAGAAATTCCTGTAAACTTTGACCCAGTGGATTTAGCACGACAAACACGATCGGGATGGGAGTGGGGATGAATATAGTGATGATGTGTGAAGCAGAGAGCAGCGAGTATCCTATAGATGAGGGAAGTGATGGGGTTTTATGTCTAGTATGGATTATCACGTATGAGCTCGGACCGTTGCTTTATGTTTGTATTACTTGCTCTTACTCTTTGAGTTTTGGACGAATTTGGCGTCGGAAGTAGTTGTCTGCGTTTTGTGATTACAGGTGGTTTTGCGATTGCATGTTGGAGTCTTGATTGCTTGCCAGTTAATGCTACAATGTTTCTTTCGGTACATTACACCAGAATATCAAATCTACAACATACCAAGTTAAGAAAGAAGTAAACAAGACCATTAAGTATCTAAACCCTAGAAACAGAAGAAGAAAAAAGAACAATCAAATGTCATTCAATGCTAAACTCGAAGAACACCAAGGAGGGTATAGGGTAGCTGAGCGAAAGCTACCCTGAGGAGTCAATCACCTCGAAACCTCCGTTCATTATGCTCAATAGCGGATCTCCCTTCGGGGCAGACGTGAGGTTACGGTATCCTTTTTCAGTAACGAGGATATCGTCCTCGATACGGACACCACCAACCCCATAGTATCCCTCCAATACGTCGCGATCGATGAACTCGGCGAACTTTGGACGGGAGAGGAAATAACCCTCCAGGTATTCTCGACAAAAGTAGCTAGATAGGCGTCAGTAAACATTGTTATACTCCATCAAAGAACGTGTTGGAATTGGCGGATGGGAATGGTTGATGTAGACCTACATGCCAGGCTCAACCGTGACAATCATCCCAGGCTGGAGGACTTGGCGACCATCACTGTACATGCTCACGTTGCCAGTCGCCGCACGTCGCTCCGAACGCCGCATGTCTACAAACTCGGGCGGGGTTATCATCTCTCGTTTGCCGTTTTCGAGCCTCGTTAGTTTGTCCGCGGAGAGCAGCCTCAGGTCACCGCTCACATCGTGAACCTCAAGTCCGACGTGGTGACCAAGCCCATGCGGGAAGAACGCGCTGGCAACTCCAGAGTCCTCGACCTTGCGGAGGTCACCCTTGAGAATCCCCAGCTGCAAGAGGCCCTGGGCGGCAACACTGGCGGCGTGGAGGTGCAGGCTGGAGAACTTGGTGCCGGGTTTGATGGCGGAAATACACTCCTCCTGCATGCGTTCGACGATACGGTAGATTGCCTTGGATTCCGGCGAGAAAACCCCGGGGATGGGAAGGGTACGTGTGACATCACTAGCGTAGCACTTGTATTCGCACCCGGCATCAACGACAACGACCTGCTTACCCTCGAGAGGCTGATCGTTGGCATCGTAGTGCAGGGTTGAGGCGTTCACACCGGCACCTGCAATGATCTTATAGGCCTGGGAATGGGCGCCATTGGCCACGCAGGTTGCAACGAAGATGGCCTCGATATCCTGTTCGTTCCGCAGTTGCAGCATCTGGCGGGCGACCTCGCGGTGGGCGATGCTGGAGATGTCGTTTGCCTTCTGGATCAGGGCGATCTCGTACTCGTCCTTGATGACTCGGGCACGATCCATGGCCGATTGAAGGCTGGAATAATCGATCCTGCCAGGCTGGCCTCGGCACGAGACGGGACGGCCGTCGCTTTGACCGAAAATGTCCCGAGGAAGCTGGGATCTGTGTAGAACGTAGAGGGTTGTAGAGGGGTTAAGAGCAAGGTCAAAGAACTTGGAAAGGTCGTTGGTATATCGGACATCATCGACATCATATAGTTGCAACGCTTTCGCAGCGTCTGGAGTTGATCCATACCATAGGACCTGACGAGGCTCGACATATGGAATCCATAGCGTCAGCCTATCTTCCGAGATTTGGTATGTTACGGCGCAGTCGACGAAATCAGCTCCGGTAATATAATAGAAGCTTGCATTGTGGTCAACGAGGCCCCGGAACTCGGTTCGAAGAGTAGGAGGACCAAGACTTACTATCGTCGTTGTCTGAAATCAGGACCTTGGTCTGAGTCCTCGTACAGCCGTGAGGGTTCTCCAGGTAGGAAGATAATACCGTTATCTGGAACCCCGGTGCTTGGTCTGGCTAGCTCAGCTGCTACTTTGCGAGCATGTTGCTTGGCTAATAAAGCATCACTAGTTCAGCACATGATATCACACGGGAAGTTCATTGGAAGGGGAGCTCACCTGGATATTTACGGGAGCTCAGAATCTCCTCGACATCCCCAGATTTTACCTCAATACTCCTATTCAAAGCCATTAGAAACTTGGTCACGTTGGCATTAGAGTGGTTAGTTGGTATCTCGCATACAGGGCATCGAACTCGTCCTCAAGCGCAAGCTCATACGTGAGTTTGTCCATAGTGACACAGCTTGCGTAGGCCTTTGAAGATATACCGCTGGTAGATGGCGTGATACTGACCGACCACACCTGTCCGTGGCACAGAGCTGTGGCAAGTAGAACGGAATCAACTCCAGGACGCTGGCCGGGGTTGATGGTGATGGTCACAGCTATGGCTGCTAACCGATGACGGCAATCGCTGTTTGGGCGCGTCCTAAGCAGTGCACAGACCATCAAATGCGAGTAGCGCCCCGTCTAATTATGCGGCTGGACCCAACCAGTTCCAAACAGGCAAATGGCTGCATCATTTCGCTAATCGCATGCTACCTTAATCTACGGCATTGGGTAGTCTTGGAGCAATGATCGCGGGTGTTTCCAACAGGTACATGCATGTTTATTATTATTTGATACAAGTGCCAGAACTTTGGGAGCATCCGGTTACATTTCATCATAGCCACCTTGTGGCAGACGACGTGGGGAAAATTTCTGGACGACGTCGCGCACCATTTGTCTCAGCTCTTGCTTCCGGGTCTCGTTACACCAGCTCCCTTCGATGGACCCCAGAGCAATGCCCTCCCACTCGGGTATCGTGAGATTAAACGCCATCTGTACGGCCTCGTAGTTCTCCAGGATGTCTGCTCCAAAGTACGCCGGATCATCGCTGTTGATGCTGAACCGTACACCCTTGTCCAAGAGTTCTCTGATGGGAAGATCCTCAATCCTGGAAACCCCCCTCAATACCACGTTGGAAACGGGGCACAGCGTGAGCATCAGCTTGCTCTCCGCCAGCCGGGCAACTAGGCTCGGATCCTCGGTGACTCGCCGTCCGTGATCAACCCGCACGACGCTGAGCTGCTCGATGGCCGCCTCCATGTACGATGCCGGTCCCTCCTCGCCGTAATGCGCTGTCAAGTTCTCGATTCCCGCCTCCTGGGCGGCCTTATACACGGGTGAGAAGAGCGAGGGATGCATGTCCTTCTCGGTGCTGGACATGCCAAAGCCGATGACTGTGCCGTCGTGAAAGTGGCCTGCACTCACAATCTCCTCGAGCATCGTGTGGGCCGTGGGGACTGGAAGATGACGGACCAGGCAGGGGATGAACTCAATGCTCATATCTGTGAACGCAGTCGTTGCTCTCGTCTTGGCAGCTTTCAAGCCGCTAATGAGGGTATCATATGTTATCCCGCGCTCGGTGTGCGCTTGCGGATCAAAGAAAATTTCTGCATGCTTGACATTTTGGGCTGCCGCGTGTTGGATATAGTCATAGGTTAGTGCTTCAAAGTCGGAGGCGTTGGTGAGGACTTTGAAGCCTATGAAGTAGTAATGGAGGAAGTCATCTAGGGAAGCGAAGTTCTCGTAGCGGGCTTTGAGCGTCGTGGGAGAGGCGAATGCCGGATCATCAGCGGGGAGTGGTATAGAGTTTTTGGAGGCGAGGCTGAATAGAAGCTCTGGTGAGAGGGTCCCCTCAATGTGAAGATGGTGCTCGCACTTGGGAAGCTCGCGAAGGAATATGGGGAGATGGTCTGAGCAGCTCATTTTGGGGGTCTGGGAGGAGAGCTGGATCTTCTCACTCTATTCAGTAGGTAGGTTAAGATATAGTATACATAGATACCTATATATTTGATGGAAGGTATTTTATCATGTCACTAGGTAGGTCCTTTGATTATGGAGCCATGATCCCCCCATTACGGCGGTCGCCGCCGCTGAGCAAAAGAGGAAACCAACAACTTACTCAGGCACCAGCAGCCTTATCGGCCCTTCGAGGTTGTGCCCTCTTCCTTGATGAGAGGCAAGCGACAAGCGATGTGGCCTCACGGTGATTTCATCCCAGCCATCCAGTAGGAGTGCCAATAGGGAAGCCCGATGGGATGGCTCGCTTCGCTTTCCGACCACGATGCGCTTCCTCAGGCGGAACGAGAACGAGGGTTTCGCAGCATTCGCGCCGTCAATTATTGGCTGAATGGCCCACTTGCCTGTATTTTCCGT